TATCTTTATTTTTGGATTTATATTTTTCCCTTTTATATTTTTTCTTTTTCTTATATAATTGTTCAAGCATATTTTTTCTATCAAGATAATACCCAAATTGTTCACAAAAGTCACCAAGTTCTTTACGCTTAGTGATTCTTTGTTTATCTAATTGCCTTTTGAGTTTCATATATGTGCATAAGGCTAAACCCTCAGCACATATTTCTGCTGATAATTCTCCAATTGTATATGAGGAATATATTATGATTCCATTATGTTTCTTTCGCAGTCTTTCTTTGACTTTTTCTGCGAATAAATATGGTAGACCAGCTATAAATTTTTCTTTCCAGTGGTCTAACTGGCAATCTTCTCTTATTAATAATCTTGAGAAAAATACATCCTTATACCATTTATAATGCGATAGGGTAGGACAGCGTAGATTTGAAAGCAGATCTTCCGATCTTACTGCTAATAAAGCTGTACTGCCTATAAAGTGTAAAGTAATGGTATATATTAATGTATTTACTGCATCACTTTCAGTATATATAATTTCTTGGTTTTGTTCATTTCTGGGCGTCCATTGTCTAGTATTTGTGAGGATTCTATTCTTGGTTTCATCATCTACATAGAAATCCCACCAACCTCTTAACCAGCCAGTAAATCCATTTATTATTGCTTTTGCAACCTCTTGATTTGGGTTGCCTGCCATTTTATTTGCAGAGGCAAACATTGTCATGTGTCTCATGACATCTAATATTTTTAATTCAGATAATCCATCTATTGTCCAGTTTACTATTGATCTTCCTGAATAGGATACTACTTGTTGTATAGCTTCTTCTTCCATTTGTATATCAACAGGTGTAGGTCTCTTGTGATATGGTAAAGCTGTTATTGGTTTCCAATTCTTTCCATAGGCTATTCTATTGAGATCTATGGAAGTGGTATCCATAAATGCATTCTCTTGATTTTAGATAGTATCTTTTATAATTGGTTCTTCTGGGAGCATCATTGTTTCATGCTCAGGTAACTTTGCTTTTCCTTTATCAGAAGATTCAGGTGTTGAACTAGTAATGGATGGAGGAATATTTATCTTGGGAGAAGATATTCCTTTGATTTCTAATTGGGATAATTTTGCTATCAATTGATCCATTAAGGATTTATTGTTATCACCAATATGGAATTTATTTTTATTTAACTCTGGAGGTGGTTTGAACATAACTGCTTTAGGGATAGGTGTAGCAGAAGGTTGTTCCTTTGAAACAAGTCTTTCTATTCGTTCTGCCTGTTTACCTAAAGATTGCATATATAAATTTGTATAATTATTTTGTTCCACAATATGAGGAATCAATTCTTGTTTCTTATATTGATTGTGGATGTGGTGGTTCATCCTTGGATGGGATGACTGCTTTCAGTATTAAAATTACAGATCCAAATGAAAAAAGATCTGCCATTACTCAATTTATTTCTATAACAAAAAATAAAGCAAAAACACCTCGCATCAATAAATCTCCGGATGAATACAATTTTGCTTCAATATTGAAGAGAGTAAGTGAATAACATACTTCTCAAAAAGAGCCTACAATTTCAGATCTCAAAAGAGAAATTAAAGAAATAAAAAATGAAGTACTCCAATTAAAAAATAGGATTAAATCTTTAGAATTACAACTATCTCAATAAGATACTGATACTGATGAAATAGAATTCGATCAACTTATGACATATGAACCAGATCCACCATCAGATATTCCAGAAACTTCAGAAGCCAAACCACATATAATAACAATTCCCTCTGTCAATTTAATAGACAAAATAGTAATTCAAAAATGGTTTGTCCAAGTCAAAATTATAGTTGCAAAAGATTATAGTTTTGAAACATCAGCCTTAATAGACTCAGGCGCCGACTTGAATTGTATCAATGAAGGGTTAGTACCTTCCAAATATTTTGATAAAACTACTCAAATATTAAATACAGCAGATGAAAGTAGATTATTTATCAAGTATAAATTATCTAATGCTTCTGTTTGTAATAATCATCAATGCCTTGATACACCATTTATCATGGTAAAAGGATTAAGCCAAGCAGTAATCCTTGGAGTCTCATTCCTTACTTTACTATATCGCATATTTCTAAAGATCTGTGCCAAATTAATGGTGATCCTTTGGGGTCCTATACACATGGGTGTGGGAGGGTCTCATAGGATCATTACTCTTATGATATATATGTAACATCTACGAAAAGTTTT